CGTGTATTCTTTGCCAGGGACCGTCTGGTTTTGGCCATGGTTGCGGTTCAGCTTTATTTGGGTTCTTTGCGGCCTCTAAACAGGACGAACAACTGCGACATTTTTGCTCTATATCATGGTCCATTGATGGCCAGTATGCGTAGCTTCGAGCTAACGACTTCATTTTACTTATCCTCGGGTGTCCGCTGTGGAACTGCTTAAGGACTTGGTTTCGAAGATTTCTGGGGATGACGATACGGTGGCCAAACATGATGCAGGAATCTACAATTGTCAATGAGTCTCGTCGACGGAAAAATTGCAAGAGTTCTCCATTTAGTCTCGACGAAGGCCACTTGTTGAGTATGCAGCGGCGAACAAACTTCAACACGTTATCTTTCTCACTAGCTCCTTTAATAGCTTCGAATGTGACTGGAAGTCCGGAAACTGCGTCTGTTAATACTGTGTGAACCTCGGCCTCAACATCTACGGCAGCCACGAGCACCTCCTCTTCTTGTTTTGTACGGGAACTAATTAGTCTTGAAAGGGCATCTGCCTGTCCAAAATCCGTTGTTGGTTGGTACTTTATCTTGAAATCATAGCTCAGTAGTGTCGTTGCCCATCTCTGTAGACGGTTTGCTGTATATACAGGTATACCTTTTTTCGATCCAAAAATTGTCAGCAGTGGTTTATGGTCTGTTAGTAGGGTAAATTGTCTGCCAAATAGCATCTTGTGGAACTTCTTTACTGCGAATATAATAGAGAGGGCCTCTTTTTCTATCTGACTATAGTTTCTTTCTGTCATAGTCAGCGACCGTGCAGCGTGGGCGATTGCCTTCTCAGACCCGTCTGGGTAGGTATGTGCGATCACTGCGCCGATTCCGTAGTTGGACGCATCTGCTGCGACTATGATGGGAAGCTCTGGATCATAGTGTGTGAGTAGAAGGTTTGATGACAAGAGCTGTTTTAGTTTTACGAAAGCTTCTTGGCACTCAGATGACCAGAACCATTTGGTATCTTTTTTCAGCAACCCATTAAGAGGAGCACGAAGGCGATGCAGTTCTGGAAGAAAAACTCCATAATGACTAACCATTCCCAAGAAAGAGCGTAAAGTTGACACATCAGTTGGTGGAGGCATGGACTTGATAGCCTCGACGTTTTCAGGATCAGGTTTTCTTCCGTTTTTATCAATTATGAATCCCAAATAGCGGACTTGTTCCATGTAGAAATCACATTTTCCAGCACGTAATGTAAACCCAAAATCTGCTATGCGTCTGAGAACCATATCTACCTTCTTCTCCAGGTCAGCATAGTCTGTACCCATGATTAGTATGTCGTCAAGATAGGCCGCAGTACCAGGAATATCTTGTAGCATAGTATCCATAACTTGTTGAAAGATTGAAGGGGCAGTCTTTACTCCAAACGGAAGTCTATTATATCGAAACAACCCTTTATGAGTGTTTATTGTCAAGTAATGTTTGCATTCTTCCGCTACTGGAATCTGTAAATATGCTTCTGATAGGTCTAGATTTGCAAAATACTTACCCCCGTTAAGTTTCGCAAATAAGTCTTCTGGTAATGGTAAGGGGTACTGATGATCTTCAAGTGCGTCATTTAATCCAGTGGAATAGTCTGCACATAATCGAATACTTCCATTAGGCTTTTTAACAATTACTATTGGAGCTGCCCAATCAGAAAAGTTCACTGGTTCTATAATTCCACATTTTTGCAGTCGTTCTAATTCTTGTTCAACAATCGGTAGAGCTGCGTAGGGCACAGGTCTTTTGGGTCGAAAAACGGGAGTAGCACCAGGTTTGAGGATTAACAAGGCTTTGGCCTTCGTACATTCTCCCAATTCTTCTTTAAAAACGTTGTGATGTCTTTGCGGCACGGTACTTTTCTGGTTACACCTTGAGGAGTTGTCAATAGTCACTCGTCTGCAGATGCTATTAATAGAATGATCTGCTAGCTTAAGAGTTTCTATTAGATCAAGTCCCAATAAGTCTAGTCCTGGGCTTTCCGTGAGATATACTTTCACATTCTTCTGTACATTCCCTTTTTTAACTGGACAGTATATCTCTCCAACAATATTTAACTTCCCTCCAGATGCACTGTGTGCTAACTGGGTTGTAGGGAGCACCGAGGGTTTTCCAATATGACTCCATGTTTTGCGGCTGATCAGTGAAATATCTGAAGCAGTGTCAAGCTGTAGACGAGCACAGCGCCCATTTATCTGTAAGGTCACATATTTTCTTTGATTATGTTCTGTTCTAGTATGTGCTACCATTATTCTATTGATTGATGAACAATTTTTACGTCTTCGGAAATGAACACTTGATGATCGACGGTGCATCTTCTTTTTACAACATGTTTCTTTCTTTGAGCTGACATCTAGTGCACCGGTAGTTTTTGTATGGGCAGAACCTTTTGTAATGCAGCTCACCGCAAAACCAACATGCGGATGGAGGCTTCTTAATGGTTGTGTTCTGCTTTTGCTTCCCACTTACTGCCTGTACATAAGGTAGTCGACCATTATTTTCTACCATTGAAGTGTCATGCTTCAAGTTTACCAGATGCTGACATTCAGTAGTCACCTCTTGAAGGGTGATATTTGGACACTGTTCAATTTTGCTTAGAATTTTGGTTCTAATGTCGGCGTCTTCTGAAGATTGTAAGCTGCATACGAAAACAAGACATTTGAATTGGTCTTCTGTCATTGCTGATAGTTTAAAGCGCTCACATTCGCGATTTATTATGCTAGCATGTTGCACCCAGTCATCATTGCCGGCTTTTACTATTTTCAAGCACTGATATCGAATATTGAACAAGGAAGACTGTTCACCGAAAATTTGCGACAAAATTTTAACTGTTTCTTCGAATGAAATGTCTCTTGGGTTCTTGGGCAGAATGTAATTAGTATATCGTTCATGTTCAATGGTACCCAGCTTTCGTAGTAGCACCCTGACCTTGGCGGCATCATCAAAAGTTTCTAGGTCGACATTAAATACATCTTCATATTTCTTGTACCAAGATTCGAATGTTACACCAGCAACACCATCAAAATGAAATTCGTGAATGGAATCAATGATACAATCAGCATGCGATTTGGCAGAAACATCTGTAAGTCCATTCTTATTGAGGTTCATCTGCTGGGTTAGTTTTTCGAGTATGCGCATCTGGAATTGTTCAAGCCGTTTTTCATGGCGCTCTAGAAAAGCTTCAAATTGGTCAAAGGTAATAGACATCTTGATAAATTAACCCGTCGCCAGTTGTTATATCTAGAGCCTTGATTCTTAATATGCCGCGAACTACTTGACTACTTGAACGATAGAGCCCGCAACGTCGCAAGGAGAGAAGACAAAGACTGGTAAGCAGGAAGTTTATTGCCCCGAACAATGTCAAAATATAGCACAGAAATCTCGTGTATTTATAGTTTTTGGCTGAAAGTAAATTATCATTTAGGTCAACCAATAAGCACATAGGTATCAAACTAATCCATCCAATGGAGAAGCTCCACGTTGGCATTTCTAGAACATTCCCCTAGCCCTGATTGGATGGAATGTCTGCGGCTCTTCCTGAGCTTCCTAGAGCCTCCTCGACTTCACCTGTGCACCATCCTTACACTTTGTTTTGAAGGAGGCTTTGATGATCCTTGGTCCATGAGATTCCCATAGAATAAGTGTATTTTGTGCTTTTCTGGACAGCATCAATGCAACTCCTTGTGTATATGGGGCATTTTCTTCTTCATGACCGGAGTATAACAGAAGTTCTCCTGAAGACAGTCGTTGTTGTCCAACCTGCGTCGAATGTGTTTCGCTGATTCCAAGAACCTCCAGGTTGTATTTTCTCATTTGTGCAGCAATTTGAAAGACTCTTCCGGTCTCCCACATTGTTCGGACATTCCATGTACCTATAAAAATTGCTCTGGTTGTAAGAAAGTGCATCGGCCTCATGACTTCCGAAGGAACTCGGCTTTCATCATGAGACGTCATAATTATTCCTTCTACTCCCAGGGCAGAGTTTGAAAGATTTTTTCTGGTTAGCGTTTTTTTAGCGAGTTGATTTTCTACGGGATGTGGACGCTAACCCCATGCCCAACCCTCCTCCTTTGTGTGGGCTTGGGACCGGCAGTAACCCCCAGAGGAGCTGCAATAGATCTCATTTATACTGGAATAATCTCTATCATTTGTACACAGTGATTACTGTAGGCCAAAGCAAATTCCAAAATAAAACGTGTTTGTTTTTCGTGATGAAACATTATAATCAACTAATTTTTTGACCGATAAAACCCTTTCAACTCAGTTATTTATTTCCTTCCACGTTGTCTAAACGATTTTTTAATATATATTACTCAATGATCACCACTCTAATTTTTCCGAATTTCAAAAATATTAAACAAATTTAGATTTTCATTCAAAATGTTCGAAAACCACATATTTCGTCAAATATCATTTATTTACTCTCTATTTATTTTAAATAACTAATTGGTTTATAAAATCATTTGCCGCAAAATGACATTTCATTAGTCAGTATTTGTGCAAGAAAACTAAAAAACAAAACCGACATTCAATAATAACAGTCGTTGACCTTACAATAATTTCATACCCTAGATTCCCTGATCTTCTGTGTTTTTAAATTCACATTTTAGTTTTTAAGTTTTAACTGACACTAGTTCGTAACATTACTCCCATAACAATATAGTTGAAACAATAAACTGGCTCACTTATTTCAAAAGTTGCACATATTTCAGTTGACTGAATCTCTGTACCAGTGAGCAATGAATGACTCAGTTATGGTTTGAAATACGTACATGTGAATGCTATGATACCATAAAGATTGATTTTATATTTTATTGACTCTTGTTTTAAGCTATATCATTGGTGATCTTCGTCTTATCTCTTTTAAATTAGAAAATAATGTTAGAGATTAATTAGTAAGTTTTCGTATCTGTCATATTATCTAATAATTTTGTAATAATTCTATTTTTCTTTAAAACGACTTCATTTTCCCTTTTTTCACTTTAGAATGGTATTTCAACCGGTGCTTGTCATGTAAATCATACTGGTATTCATCATCTCATGGAAGATATTCGCAAAATGAAGATAATTATTAAAGGTCATGAAAGACGTATACAAAATCTAGAGGAACGTCTAGACTTGACCGATAGTGGTGGTGATTGTGTATCTTCCATGTCTGTTAGCTCAATTAAATAACTGTACACTTATATCATTCATCAGGCCTACAACAATATCCCCTTTTCATCTTTATTATTATCTGTTATATGCTACCAGTAAGTTTACTAAACACTGTGTAGATCATGTCATGTTTTTCGGATTGAACAAACCACCATCATCTATCCATTGCATGTACTATTCTGTAAGCTTTTTTATTAGTAATAAACATTATCAGAGAAGAAAACAACTTGTCTTCCATTCACTGTAACCAAAATTAAAGATACAAGCTCATTTCTTTATCTCTATGATCAGCTCTTTTCAGTCTTACTCTTTCCCCCTCTATTTATCTGTGTGTATGTGTAAATCAATTGATAATTGATTAGCTGTTCAAATAAACAATACTTCTTAGCATTTATTAACAAAACAATATATATATACCCTTTGGGATTTTGCCTTCTTTCTTGTCTTTTCTCTAAAGCATAATGTGCGGTTTTTATAGTTTACAAATTTACATTTTTGCTAATTAGCTTACTTTAACACAACAAACGTATATACGTAGTCTTTGCATTATATCTTTACATGCCTTTACAATTCACTAAAAATGTGCCACAACCATATATGTATATATGGGGTGTGTTTGCGTGTTAACCTGTGTTTACTTATTCAATGTGTGTGTAGAAAGAAATTATAAAGTTGACGAATCGCACCAGAGAGCCCACAAATTCTCTTTTCTTCACTGCACGCATATTGTTAATGATTTCGGTGTCTGTTTCCGTTTCTTCGTTTTGACACTTCCAGCAAATGATGAGATGTTTCTTTTCAAATTTATTTATTAATTTCGGCTCAAAAATTTTCCGTTGTCTTACACATGTATGTATTTATGTGTGCTGACTGTTCATCTGCCATTTGATCTTATCAAAAACCATATTGTTCACACCGTTAACACACGAATATAATGATGACAATAGTTTATATATATATAGATATATATATATATATATATATATATAATCACTTTCTTACGCGTGTTACTTGCATGAAATCTGTTTTAATCTATCTTTCTCATTGTTTTCTTGTAGTTTAAATGTTTATATTTCCTGGGTCACTAGATCGTCTTAGACTTTTCATACTAAATTCTATGTAGATTTTTTTAAAAGTTATATTTAACTGTATTTCTGTAATTGTTTACAGCTTTACCTCAGTTTATTCGTCTTGATATTATATACGTGAATGTGTGTCCCTTCTCTCTTTACTTTCTAATCAATGTATGTGGGATTCTGCTTTCTCGAGGAAATAAAACTGATTATCAAATAGAATTTTCATGACATAGAATTCAGAAATATTCTCATTGAATCAATGCTTTTAGTTAATGTTATTTATTGTTTATTTAGACGTTATCGTTTATACTGATACTGTTGCTATTTCATTATTTCCAAGGTAGAGGATAATACGTATCCTGAAATGGATTTTTTGTTCTTTACCTTTTGTAAGACAGTTTTATTTAATGGGCTTTGATAGGCGACTCTGTATGTAGTCTTATTTCTATGAATAAAAATCAAATTATTTTTCCATGTAAGATAGAATTTACAAAGGCTAACACAGTCAGTCTTTGTGTGCTACAATTGTCAGGTACATCTGAGATGACATGAATTCTACCTGAAAATGGAAAATTTAGTAATGATAATAATACTAATTAGGTTGTCTTCTTCACTTAAGTTAGATACTCATACTATTTTTTTTTATTTGAACACATAAATATTGGTACAAGAGGGCACCAGATGTATATGCGCCACACAGAAAATTGTCATTTCATTTAATTGTGTAAGGGCTATGGTACTGCAGGGGTGCCCAGACCGAAGCAGGAGAGAGAATGCTTTATAATTAAATAATTTAGTTATTGGAACATTCATTTTTACTGCAGTTAACAGATGGGATGTATTCCAAACAAATAAAATAGGAACTCCATCAACAAGGGCGTCGTAATTAAAACCTTAGAAACTTTAGGCTACCCATGATTATCACTAGTTAGGAATGACCGTGACGTAGCTGATGCCCACCATGAACAGAAAAGTGATTGGCGGTATTACCGGCGTAAACATTAAGTTGTTTGTCAGCTGTTATAACGAAGAATTTATGAAGATTTAACTATAATTAGACTTTATCCTTCATTTAGTTTAATCTGAATAAAGGAATATAGAGGATTATATAACGAAGAAAAGCCGTTCTGTAGCCTGTCAGACAGTGGTGGTTATCAAAATGAAATGCGTACCTCGTTGTGCAATGAGGCTACATAAATGAGTATAAGTATAAACCAGCCTGCTTAAATATCCGGGCTACCTGTTCCTACCGCCTAGGTATTTCAACGAGTTATCTGTTTCCTTGTTTGTTTAAACAGATCATTATGTCAATTAATTGCATAGCATAACTACGCTGTCACAACGATTATAGGGAAAGGGGATTATAATAATCAAATTAATCATTCGAATAATCATACAGTTCCCACATTGCAAATTATATAAAAAAATATATAATATTTTGATAAAAGGTCAGTTATATAGTAACTACATAAGAATCGAGAGACGGACGTTAATAATATGTAAAATGAATTAAGAAATTCACTTAGTATTGTTTGTTTGAATCTTACCATTGATGTTTAGGACTGCAATTGGTCAGTCCCTTACTTGCATGTGTGCATACTGTTTGTTTTGAATATTTTTGACAGAAGGGATTCGATCAAAGTTCAGCTAAAACTCACTGCTATACCGGTGGCAGCAGGGGTAGTTGTACAAAGCTTTTTTGGATACAAAGGTTAGGTTTGTAAATATGGATTCCGATAGCTTCAGTAATATCCAAAAATAGAAATCGTAAGCCATGCGGTAAATTTTATGGGATATGGTAGATAACCTTAAAAACATTATTCAACTCAACTTGATGTTCTGTGTTCACCAAGTGGGTGGAAACAGAACTCTTAATCACTTACCTGTCCTTCACTCAAACTAAGATAGTGTTCCACTATGCAATGACGGACTTGCCAAGTTGTACGCTCTGTATAACTGGTTCCATAGGAACAGTTGAGATAGTAAATACATATGGGTGTGACAAATTACAACAGTCTGTCTTTATTGATGATTTTTCTTATACGAAACCGCACTCAGCGTATCTGAAGTAGATGTTTTCTGCACTGCATATCTTAACCTCTGAACTACAACTTCCTTGTTAGCGTCATTTAATGATCGTAATCTTAAGAATAATACCTTTTCCTAAACAGAGGTTACCTTCAGTCCTCTTTTCATTCAATTCCTGTTTCTGATTAATTTCGTTGGATATATATTCCTACTAGGCAGGATACGAATATTAATCAATTCGTTTACAATAGTGTCATCAAAACAAATCATTCTGAGACTAGTCAGGATTTTACCAAGTTTCTTTTATATCTGATTGCTACAGGATGGATGAATGTTATTCAATATATTAATCAAATTATACTTCTCATGTTCGTTTTCTAATACCATGAAAGTATCACTTATTTATCGACAGTAAGATGTTAAATGACTGATTGTGTCATCAATCGGTTTATTTTCCAGCTTTTATTACAACTTAGGAAATGGACTGAATTGAAATTTAATATACACCTATTTAGGCAATATTTAGTGAAATGTTATTTTCATTTCTCAATAGCTTTGGGCTACTTTAAGCGCTTAACACACACTTTGTATTTACATGGCTTTTAAGAACAGCAGTAGTCTAATACAATCCTCATCTCCATAATTTCTTATGTCATGGTCAAAGCCAATAATTTTTACTCTAGATCCCTCATAATCAATATATAAGTTGTTTAGATTCTTTACAAATTTTATTGAAATATACAGAATGTCCTTACTGTCATTTATTGATATTCAGTAGAATTAGGTTACATGAAAAATGTCTAACTATTAAAATGATCAAATTCTGTCCGGGTGAATATTTTTTCTCTCACCGAATATACTATTTTAACCAATTCCAGCTCGCTTGTTAGTGATTGTTTGATTTAAATTTTATGCTGTTACTGATTTTTTTAAGTTTTAATTTTGCACGGCGTTGAATTCTTGTATTGCTCAAATCAAAATATTAGGTGATATTTTTGATAATTTTACAGTTCGTGTTTCACATTACAGAACGACCATTGGTATTATGAAAAGGAGGTAGTATAGAATAAATAAACAAACTGTGGTAATACAAAAGAGAAAGTATTGCAACAAAAGAATAACAAATTCTGATATTATGCCTTGTATTAAAATTGAATTAGCGAAGAGTAGTCTGAATATAAGGACGTCTTGTTTTACAAAACAGTCGGGGAATTTCGATGTCCAAGTTTCTGACAAAACTTAAAAACACATTCCTAACAGTTTCTATGAATAGCTTTTATGGCCAATCATCTAGTCAGTTTACATTGTGTTTAGCTGTATAGCACCCTAACTCTTGGGTTTTTGTAGGACTGAGATTCCAGTCAGTCAGCTACAACGTAGGACCAGGCACATATATGCATCGGTCCAAGTTGCCATACCTCGTTAGCACAACAAGATCAACACCGGATTCATAGAAGTAGTTAATTTAGTGGTGGTGGTTGTATATAAATTATAGGTTGTACATAAGGATATAGTGTAGGAAGGAAAAAAGTTATGAAGCAATTTTAATCTCAAGGTTTAAGGGAAGATAAAGAGTGTATACACCTACGCCATTCTGATCGATTCTGAGCCATGTCACCTATAGTCTCCAACCATTGGTTACGATAGTCACGCGGACCCCAACCAGGTAGTCTGCATCTACCAACATGGCTCAGAATAGAAGTTAGTGACTTCAAGCACTGATGCCATGTTTTGGTTTGGCCGCCCCTAACTCTCTTCCAACCATCCCCAATACTAGTCGTCATAGAGCGTCGTGGTAATCGGTGTTCAGGCATACGTAACACGTGGCCCAACCATCTCAGTCGATGAAGATTCATCACCTCATCAACTGATTTACCATCATTCCCTAATACCCTGCGTCTAATCTCACTATTA